TCTCTCTGTGCCTGTTTCTGTATGGTCAACTAGCTTCGGAATCCTCTGCATCTCTTTCGCGATGTCGCGACCTGGGAATTACGCTCCACACCAAAGAAGCACCTCGACCGCATCCTGTAGACCAGCCATGCGCCTCAGCATTCCTCGGTGCAGAATCACAACGTTTTTGCTGCAGCGTGTTGAGGAGGCTGGGTTTGGCGCGAAGCCACTCGTTCTCCATCAACAGTTGAAGCAGGCAGGTTGCAACAACTGGTAGAAAACGGGATGGCGCTGCCCCGAACTTGCACGCAAATGACTATGTTTAGATTTCTTGAGAGGATGCATATACTGGATCGAAAACCAACCATAAGTGATAGTTTCAAGTAATCACGTAGACGAGAATAGCTACGAAGCCTCACTGAAGCTTGGAAGAAACGCTTTTCAAAAAACAGTTTGATAGGATGTTTCCATCCACTTTATGCTGTGAATACGAAGAGCAGCGATGTTGTATGTTCACTGAAAGAATGGGCAGTGGAATGAATGCATTGTTCTATATTCAAAATTAACAGCATTCCAGAAAATTCGAGATATGCTGAATCAGCTCAAGACAGCGTATGAGAAAAAGAAGGAGATGAAGGCAGCTGAGAAGGAAAAGGAAAAAGAGGTAACAAGTGACACATAGTTAACATCCATGGAAGTTTTTCTAATAATCATAAATTTCAGCAGTTTCGACAAGCTTGGCAGAAAGTTCTTGACAAATATAAAGACATTCAGTGGAGACTCAATGACTCCAGTAATGCTTCCAAAGAGCGTCGAAGAGAAGTAAGCGTTACAAAAAGCAGTTTTGCGAGCGAACAATGTTCTTAACAATTTTTTACTTTAAGAAGCTCGAGAGCATGAGAGCCACTCTGAACGAAATGAAAGCAATTATCACTCAACAAAAGGAAGAACGCGATCAGAAACGACAAGAGCGCCGTGATGAATATGAAAATCGGGTTAATCAGATCAAAAACGACCTCAAGGTAAGTAGAGATACATGCACTAGTATAGCGCAGATGGGAAGGACGTGTCCACGCCGGTGGCTATGAGCGCGATTGCGTCCATCTGTAGACTGTTGCCGGCAAAACACGTCTTACTTGAGGAATCACCCGCGTGGGTCGTGTTTGCTCGCAAGAATGAAAGCATGGTCAGCTCGGGAAAAACCTTTCTGAATGCCGATCCTTCCCGTTTTATTAGGGCTAGCCGGAGTGCACCGCAAAACTAACAACTGTTCTGGTGATTGGCTCGAGGTGTCTAGCCTCCCACCTCCCGCCCCCACCCTCGCTCTACAGCAAATTATTGAGTAAATCTGGTAACATAGCTGGTAGGTCATAAAGAGGGATCGTATCATACCAGATTAGAGAATCGTGTTTTAATTCCTCCCCATATGATATAGGTGTCACAAAGGAGAGAGCTGCCGAACAACTTCCGTGCGCTCTCTTACTTAAACGCTGCTGTAAGTCTGATTGGAGCGAGAGTTGTCTAGGTCCCACTCGCTCACATTTGATTCATGAGCTTCTGTCCCCCATCATCATGATATACAGGGGGGGGTGGGCAAAAAAAAACACTTCGACCGAGACACATATCAGCAAGTTTTCGCAGCCCAGACAGAGGACGTGGATACGAGTACCAGGGCGGAAGATACCTATGATTATCCTCTATGCACAGGAGCAGGTCTTCGTCCATCACCGCCTCATCGTAAACCAAATATGAAGTCATCTTTAGTTGGCAGCCTAACTGGAGAGGACCTTTGGAATTCATGTTACCTATAAACAGCTGCGAAACTTCTAGTAGTCACCCATGGGTGACCAGTACTGGAGACCTGGAGACCAGTACTCTCGATCTGGGAGACCTCCAACATCGAGCAGCTCCGGCAACGTCGCTACGGAATAGGACATCATTTTCACCGCCAAGGCGCGGGTTGATGGTATGGACCGGGCGTACCCGAAATGAAAGACCGATCTTTTCTTCGAGGACCCCGGACTGGAGGTTACATCGAGCAACTCGAGAAGAATATCCTCCCCACATGTCGTCGCCCGTACCTTCTTGGAAACTTTGTACTGCTACAGGATTGGGTGACACCACATGGAATCGAAGGGCGTTGGAAAAACTCTCGCCTACTTGGAATGGAAGGGCGCTTGAGTACCTGAAGAAGATGGAATATCTAAGCAGGTCACCTGAACTAAACCCCTCAATTACCTGGTTTGGGCGGAGTTCAATAGGGTGGTCTACAGTGGCGGAGAAATCAACGATCTCGCTGAACTCAGGCACCCGAATCAGGTTGCGTGACAGAATCTCTCGATGGCTTTCGTCCAGAAGGCTGTGGCGGAGTTTTGTGATCGTGCGCCAATGCACTTGTTGGCATTCTGCTGGTGGAAATGTCCAAACAGAACTCAAAAAAGTGTAAATTATATTGCTTCGAAAGTCGAGGAGGATAAGTGTATTTTTTGCCACCACCCTGTAGATAATATGTGAATAGTTTTGGAAGTGCTAGTGAGAGCAAGGAATAATTGCACCTGAAGATTGTGCCGCATGACCTAAAATCAGAACTCGAGGTTCAATGCATACAGTATGATGGGAACCAGAGAACGTTGCTGATAAAGACTTTCATAATCCCAGGGAAGCCTCGCATGAAATCAGCAGTATCGCATAGACAGGGTCAAGGAGAGATGTGGAGGTAATGTAGTGACAGGGCGCTCTGCTTAGTGCGGACACTCTCTCCATATCCCGGAGATGGGGAGGGCGTGGCCACGTGCTCCAATTGAACAAGGTAGAGCATGTGCTTCAATTAAGACATTCGCATTTGAAACACTGCAGTTCAATCTTGTGCTGAACAAAGCTTGATTACAGTTGTCCCAGATATTCCTCTACGTTTAAATGAAACAGACAACGCCCTCCCCTCGCAGGAATATGGAGTGTATCTCAGGGAAAACTCAGGCTGATTCCCGTCCAGGCCTCAAAACATTACAGAATCGTTGAATACTTTATTAAATACCGAAACACCCCTTGATGGTGGAAGCAGTGTTTGTACCACAGCTATATTCGAAGATTATGGAATGAGCCGAATTCAACTTCAAGCAGTATTAGTCACGTAGTTCTGAATGGAACTTTGAAGCGTGGCCCATTCCCGAAGCTGGAACCTATCAAGAGCCTCATCCCCTTGTTTCTTCATGCACGACGATTTCAGAGAATATTTTTGCAGGCCAAAAAGAACGATCTTGATGCTTTAGAAGAGGAATTAAAGCAAAAGTATGCACAGTACATGGAAAAACAGAACGACCTGAAGGGTACGGTGCAGGTGAATCTAATGGGAATGTTTTACCCACGACCTATTATCGTTACTGTTGTTAGTACCAATTTTATTGCTGCCTAGTACCCATTTTCTAGACCGTTTACCCTTGAATTCTATGGATTTATAACAAACTATTTCTAGAGCGCCTTGAAAGAGAGTGTGAAAGCTTCTGTGGTTATGGAAATCGGAGACAATCTGCAAGACACTCTAGACAAGGTACTTCCCAGTAGCTTTCAACAACTTTGCGGGTAGCGTTGGTGTGACTTTACGACATTTTCAGGCCGCGGTGAAAGAAGCTTTGTCGGAGGTTAAAGGTGAGAAACGAAACAACGTGACGGCCGTACCGAAGGCTACAGTCTTAGACGAGTAAGAAACACATACCATACTTTTTAGATATCTCCTACAAAACCGTCAAATTAATTAATTAGCAAAATTACAGTGAACAATTATTGCCATCGTTTTTGTTTTTTTTCCTGACCAAAGTGTTCAGAACAATTCAAAAAATTTGTTAAGTTTCTATTAATTTGATGAGTACCCTATCCGAACACCCTGCCGTGGTTGGTATTAAAGGCAGTATGGGAGCAGTTCGGCGACGGAAGGGCATTTTGTACTTTTGCTACTTCCCATCGACGTGTCAACCCACCTAGACAACCCCTTCTCAAGTTGAAGGGTTTTACCATGATGGCTTGACGAGCTCGCTCCAGCTTCACAAGAGTTCATAGGTTTCACCGGAGTGAGACTTGTAAACCGGAACTAGTGATACAACGAAAGGGCAAAACTTCCCCCCTCTCCCAGACTGCGACGCGCGGTGTGTGCTAGCATAATTTGCCCTTGGTCTCCCCCCCCCCTACGCTAAGCTTTGAACTCAAAGACTCCGTTCAGGGTGGGTAGGACCAGAAAACAACAGTATCGGCGCTCTCCTTTTCTTCCTACCTTCTTTACCATCCTGGAAGGCGGGAAAAATGCGTTAATGGCACCGCTCTTGTTTTCTCCCACGAGGCTATTCCGAACGATAGCTTCATTGGGGCTCTCTGCCTTGAAGGAGAATTGAACGATCCTCCTTCCGAATAACGACGGACGTGTGGTGACGGCCATCCCTTCTCTGTCTGATATGAAATGCGCCTTATAACTCGGCCTTACTACTCCCGGGGTCCTAATGAGATTGGGAGCATCCTCCGTGGTGTTGCATTCTGCATTCCATCAAATACCAATGTCCTTGAGAAATTTTGCTACTGCAAAGGTTGTACACTTGACAAGCTTCTGCTGTACCAGAAAGGCGCAGCGTATTTCACCAGACGATCTGTCTTCCGAGGGGAGGGGGTTGGGGGGGGGCGAGAGAGAGCGTCTTGCAAGTTCCCATCAACTTGAAGACCTGGAAGCTCCTTCGAAACTATACAGGGGGAGCCAAAAAAAAAGTCGTTCTCCTTCATTGAATTTCGAGGCGCTATAAGTTACACTTTATTAAATTCTGATCGGACATTTTACCACCATATTAAAGAGCATATTAAATACTATCATGACACTCCGCCACAGCGCCATCGAGAGATTCTGGCACGCGACCGCGATGTGGTGCCTGAGATCAGCGAGATAGTCGATTTCTCCGCCACCGTAGACCACCCTATTGAACTCCGCCCGAACCGGGTAATTGAGGGATTCAGGTCAGGTGACCTACTTGGATATTCCATCTTCTTTAGGTACTCAGCCCCCTTCCATTCCAAGTAGGGCGAGAAGGTTTCTCCAAATGCCCTGGGTTCGATTACCATGTGGTGGCACCCAATCCTGTAGCAGTACAAAGTTTCCAAGTTTCCAAGAAGGTACGGGCGACGACATGTGAGGAGGATATTCTTCACGAGTTGCTCGATGTAACCGCCAGCGCTCACCTTCAGTCCGGGGTCCACGAAGAAAATATTGGTCTTTCCAGGTACGTCCGGTCCATACCATCAACCCGCGCCTTGGCGACTGTGGTGAAGATGATGTCCTAGACCGTGGCGACGTTGTCGGAGCTGCTCGAGACATGAATTCCAAAGGTCTTCTCCAGTCAGACTGCTACTGGAGATGACTTCATATTTTGGTGTACATGAAGGTGATGGGCGAGAGCCAGCTCCTGCTTATCGAGGAACATCTTGGGTATCTTCCGCCCTGGTACTCGTATCCACGTCCTCTGTCTGGGCAGCGAAAACTTTGCTGATATGTGACTCGGTCGAAGTGACTTTTTTGCCCCCCTGTATAATGGCCTTCTACGAAGCTTGTAAATAGAAGGCGTTTCTGAACTTTTGTGACTCCCACACTGTTTTGTGAATGTACAAGAGTTGGCAATATTACTGAAGCAGCGACTTGTTCTCCCCACTCCCTCCCTTCCCCCATTCATAAAACGGATGGCTCCTCCGCAGGTGCTCACTAGAAATCGCTTTTAACCGTTTCTGTTCGGTTTTCTTATGCACGTGAAGAGTTGTGAATGACTGCTTATTGTTTCAGTATAACAGGAGTATCTGCTTGGCAAACGGTAACGTGGATGCTGCTAGCGCTCAGCATTCTGTGGTTGCAATGATTGTTTACCAGGTGAGCTCATTTACCTATTTCACGTTAATGGATAGGATTTCATTTCTTCTGCTGTCATGGGTGGATCAAAAGAACTCGATGAGTCAACAGAACTGCCAGCTTAACATTGCTCTTCCCACTTCTGAGTCAGTTAGGAGGCAAGTGGGACGATGGGGACCGATGCCTGGGGGGGGCGAAATTGCTGCCAATGTCATTACT